GTGATAACGAAGCGAGTTTCGGTGTGACAGACACACGTAATGCAGGACATATTTGTAGGCAACGTAATCAGGAAACACCTTTCAGTTGGAATTGAGTCGTGTCATTATTTGGCAATGATAAATGACAAATGACAAACTACATTCTTTTGAAATGACGCTCACCTGTTGTTCTCCCTGACAGTCGGTGAGCCTGTATGTGAAGAGCAGGTCGTTATGCGGCTCAAGGACCCCGTTACTTTTACAGGTTTCTCCGAGCGTCAGCTCCTCTGCGATGGCTGAGAAACCGTAGAAATTATTTTTTACCCTTAAAACGAATCCAGAGCGTGAACAGGTCACCGACACATCCGGGAGCCGGCTGTATCTGGGCAGGTACCCCTCGCCAGGTGGGACTCTCGCAGGTGCTCGGCCACGGATCCGCAGGACAGGCCTCTGGAGCGTCAGGTCTGGCGTGTCTGTGAACGGATAGCGCACTAGAAGTTTCCCAGAGTGTTTCCCGCGAGCTGTTCTTGGGCGATCGGCTCTTTTATCTAATAAAGATGACGCTGAGACACTATTTAACAGTGTTGGGCTGGAGGAAATGCCAAGAATCAAACATAGAACTACGCGAGTTATGTTGTTCACTTTCATATTAATTACCTACTAGTACGCTTTTATTATGTTTTACGTATCGTTTTCCTACAGGTGGAAACTCTTCCTTCGGTTTGCTCCGTTTTTATCAGGGGTCTCCTACAGGTGGAAATTACGCAATTAAAAAAAAAAAGGTTCGGTCGGGGGTTAGACGTGATTGGTCTATAAACGGGGTGATTTGTATCTAAATCTATCTAGACTAAATCAAGACTATCCACCTTTTTCTTGTCGTAAAAATGGGCGCGGCCATTTGTAAATTCTATGGGTCTGCAGTGGCTTCCGGTCTCATGTCCACTCCGTCCAGCTATTTTTAGCTGAACAAAACAGGTCGTTTTGCTGCTTGATATTGAAAGTTGGTGTGTCTTATATTATTTTAATGTATTATTTTAATTATGAACACACTGGTTTGTAGTGCAAACAGTTTTACCGTTCACGGCACGTTGTTATTCTCCTCGTTATTTGTCTATAGCGGCTAATGAACCGGAAGTCTCACCCATAGGCTTTACTTCCGCGTTGAAGAAAAAGGTGGTTAGAAGTGGTTGGTCACTAGAGGGCGCCACAAGGCTGAAGAAACGGCTTCCACTCACACTTGTAGTCTTGGCCACTTTGAAAGCGCTACAGAAAGTAAGTGTGCAAGACGGTCTCAGATCTGAAGAATGCAAAGCTCAGTTGCATTAATGCACATTAAATCCACACTCTAACATCTAACACCCGCATCGGAGAGCTAAGTGTATCCCATCATTCAACACGTTCACGAACTCACATGCCCCAAAATCGCGAGAATTCGACAATTCCAGTTAGTTGAATTAATTCGAAATTACATATAATTTAGCAGCAAAAACGCAAAGTGATGCACATTTTATAGATGAGTATGTGTTTTGTAAAACCTTTGTAACGGGTTTTATTACTAAATTAGACGCATCACAATGAAAATATGTCGTAGATATTTAAATGTTTATTTTGTGCTAAGTAGCCTATTGAAAATCAAAATGCATAAAATAAATGCATAAAGTACATTTAAAAAACTTTTATTTGCATTTTTACATCAGTTTCCACTAGGGCTGGACAATAATTCAATATCAATATGTATCGCGATATAATTTTTTTCAATAACGGTGATATGATTTTTAAACACATTTCCGATATTTCGATATACATTACCAGTTTCCCATACATTGATTTATTTGTGGCGTTTGACTTCGTTGAATTAAGAAATATATTGTGATATAAATTTTGGCCATATCGTCCAGCCCTACTTTCCAGTAATCCTATCCGATCTGACAGGCCTAATCTAAACTACACACAGTGGTCCTCGATCACGTACACTGAACGTCATTTGAGCTGACAAATAGCCAAGTGGAAAGAGCAGGGGGAAAAAAACTAATTTATATATACTGGTGATATATACAGTGGGTACGGAAAGTATTCAGACCCCCTTAAACGTACCCACTGTATATACACAGTGTTGGGAAGGTTACTTTTGAAATGTAATAGATTACAAATTACCTGATTTAAAATGTAATAAGTAGTGTAACTATTTCAACTACTTTATTAAAGCAATGTAACGGATTACTTTCTAATTAATGTTTTCAACTGTTTATCATTTTGAAACATGTAAACCATGCAGGCAGGGTTAACCTTACAGTAGTAGGCCTACTCAACATTAATTACTGCAGACTTCTCAAAATACTTCATCGCTTATACTTCATTATAGCCTACAAATTCATTTTTAAAGCCACCACAAAATCAGACTTTAACACCTCTTTGAGATCGTCAAACAGATTTAAAACCATAAGATATAGTTTAATATCTATGAGTGTTTTTGAAATCAAATATTTGCATGGATATGACAGGAAACAATGGCATCTGACAATGTTTTGAGGAAAAAATAAAGCATGCACATAAACCCAAATAAGAAATAAAAGAGTTATCAAATAACATGTCCTATTCTGTGTCCTAAACTCTTGGTGTCTTGCTTTTTAGAGCAGTCACTCCCCTAGTTACCTACCTTAGTTACTCCCCAACACTGTGTTTTATATATATATACATATATACACACACAGTCTGGTCAGCTGTACTTGTAGGGACTCTCCATAGATGTAATGGTTTTTATACTGTACAGATCATATTTTCTATCGCCCTACACCAACCCTACCCCTTACAGGAAACTTTCTGTATTTTTACTTTCTCAAAAAAAAAAAAAAAAAATTCTGTATGATTTATAAGCTTTTGTACCCATGCTCAATTTAGGTCCCCACCGTGACACGAGTCCCCATGAGTCTGTGTGTTTAAGTCCCCACCAGGATATATAAACCTGTACACACACACATATACAGTGGGTACGGAAAGTATTCAGACCCCCTTAAATTTTTCACTCTTTGTTATATTGCAGCCATTTGCTAAAATCATTTAAGTTCATTTTTTTTCCTCATTAATGTACACAGAGCACCCCATATTGACAGAAAAACACAGAATTGTTGACATTTTTGCAGATTTATTAAAAAAGAAAAACTGAAATATCACATGGTCCTAAGTATTCAGACCCTTTGCTGTGACACTCATATATTTAACTCAGGTGCTGTCCATTTCTTCTGATCATCCTTGAGATGGTTCTACACCTTCATTTGAGTCCAGCTGTGTGTGATTATACTGATTGGACTTGATTAGGAAAGCCACACACCTGTCTATATAAGACCTTACAGCACACAGTGCATGTCAGAGCAAATGAGAATCATGAGGTCAAAGGAACTGCCTGAAGAGCTCAGAGACAGAATTGTGGCAAGGCACAGATCTGGCCAAGGTTACAAAAAAAATTCTGCTGCACTTAAGGTTCCCAAGAGCACAGTGGCCTCCATAATCCTTAAAGGGAAGTGAGGTCAAAGGAACTGCCTGAAGAGCTCAGAGCCAGAATTGTGGCAAGGCACAGATCTGGCCAAGGTTACAAAAAAAATTCTGCTGCACTTAAGGTTCCCAAGAGCACAGTGGCCTCCATTCCTTAAATGGAAGACGTTTGGGATGACCAGAACCCTTCCTAGAGCTGGCCGTCTGGCCAAACTGAGCTATCGGGGGAGAAGAGCCTTGGTGAGAGAGGTAAAGAAGAACCCAAAGATCACTGTGGCTGAGCTCCAGAGATGCAGTCGGGAGATGGGAGAAAGTTTTAGAAAGTCAACCATCACTGCAGCCCTCCACCAGTCGGGGCTTTATGGTAGAGTGGCCCGACGGAAGCCTCTCCTCGGTGCAAGACACATGAAAGCCCGCATGGAGTTGTGAGATGGTGAGAAATAAGATTCTCTGGTATGATGAGATCCAGATAGAACTTTTTGGCCTTAATTCTAAGCGGTATGTGTGGGGAAAACCAGGCACTGCTCATCACCTGTCCAATACAGTCTCAACAGTGAAGCATGGTGGTGGCAGCATCATGCTGTGGGGGTGTTTTTCAGCTGCAGGGACAGGACGACTGGTTGGAATTGAGGGAAAGATGAATGCGGCCAAGTACAGGGATATCCTGGACGAAAACCTTCTTCAGAGTGCTCAGGACCTCAGACTGGGCCGAAGGTTTATCTTCCAACAAGACAATGACCCTAAGCACACAGCTAAAATAATGAAGGAGTGGCTTCACAACAACTCTGTGACTGTTCTTGAATGGCCCAGCCAGAGCCCTGACTTAAACCCAATTGAGCATCTCTGGAGAGACCTAAAAATGTCTGTCCACCAACGTTTACCATTCAACCTGACAGAACTGGAGAGGATCTGCAAGGAGGAATGGCAGAGGATCCCCAAATCCAGGTGTGAAAAACTTGTTGCATCTTTCCCAAAAAGACTCATGGCTGTATTAGATCAAAAGGGTGCTTCTACTAAATACTGAGCAAAGGGTCTGAATACTTAGGACCATGTGATATTTCAGTTTTTCTTTTTTAATAAATCTGCAAAAATGTCAACAATTCTGTGTTTTTCTGTCAATATGGGGTGCTGTGTGTACATTAATGAGGAAAAAAAATGAACTTAAATGATTTTAGCAAATGGCTGCAATATAACAAAGAGTGAAAAATTTAAGGGGGTCTGAATACTTTCCGTACCCACTGTATATATATATATATACACACATATACATGCTTTTTTTAACACTACAGTGATTCTTCAAAATTAGTTATCCATGAAATTAAAACACCAAACCCAGTCCATAATGTCTTGTTGTCCATAAAGGCCTGGTTTTTAACAGATTTGTTATTTTTAAACATATGTCTTAATTTTTCAACATATTCAGACCATTTAATACAATTTTCCTTGCTAAAGCAAAATAAGGAATTATTATTTGTATGAATGACTTTTTGTTCATATTAGTTAATAGCACTAGCAACACCAGTGTCATGAGTTCGGTTCCCATAACAGTTAGCTTTTTGGTAAAATATGAATATTAAACCAGTGATTCTTCACAATTAGTTATTTTTCATGAAATTAAAACACCAAACCCAAGCCATAAATAATGTCTTAAACCCAGTCTAATTACATAAATTAAAATTCTTTTGAAGGTTTGCCAGTATTACACAGTAGTATGCAACCTCTCTTCAGGTTAAGAACTGATTCTTATTCAGAACCTGATGAATTATTACCTTTTATAGCGATGTTTTATAGCACATTGACTCTGTGATAATGGAGGGAGTTTCGGGGTTGATAACGGCAAGTAGGGATGTAACGATTCACTCAACTCAAGATTCGATTCACGATTTATTTATTTTTTTACAAAATGAGATTTAAGACAAATTATAAATGAAATGTCCTTTTATTATTGCTTGGACAAAATGCTGAACATTTCTTTGTCAAATTGAAATATAACACTATAATAATATACTAATATAGCCCTAGCATATTATTGCTCTTTTGTTGGTTTTGATTGCTTCTATTGTCCTCATTTGTAAGTCACTTTGGATAAAAGTGTCTGCTAAATGACAAAATTTTTATATAATGTAAATGTAAATAACAAAACTAAATTAAAATTTTAAAACAAGCCCCAAATCAAATAAATAACACGAATAAAATAAATCTCTTCATATAAACAAACTAAGGATTTGTCTGTGCTCTTTCCGTTTAAAATTAGAGGCAACCACTGCATTTTAATCCTGATCAAAACAAAGATGCTGCATGCATGCAACATGAGCAGTTTTTAATCTAAATTAGATTGTATAATTTCGAAATTTGAAGCAAAAACGGAATGGTTTGACTTCAGTTTTATGAAACTATACATCAAAAATATCTGCATGAAACCGAAACAGCAGACGAGCTGAATGAGACGCAGATTCACTCTCTGCCAGCAGGTGGCGCTTAAAGCGTTTCCTTGGTTTCCGCTGTAAACAAACTTATGAACTTTAATATGCATTATACAGAGGCAAGAGGAAAAGAAAATAATACCATCTAAACTTTTCTAAAGACAGTCAGTTCCCCTCAGACATGGATTCTTATAAACTCCTACCACTAAATGAATCGCGATTTGTTTAGCATCTCAACCGATTTGAATTGTCACATATTTGAATCGATTTTCAACCGGCTCGCGCTTAATCGTTACATCCCTAACGGCAAGTAATGATGGACATATCTGACAATTAGTTGTTATTCATTAAATTAAAATACCAAACCAGTCCAGTTACATAAATTATTTTGAAGGTTTGATAGTATTTACAACACAAATTTAATAAGCACAATATAAATGCACAACGTCTGTCTGTTTATAAAGGCCATAAAATAATACATAACACACATTGTACAGTTCTGGTGGTGTTTGTAGTTTTGACAAAAATCATCTCCCATTAATAATCTCTTGTACTACAGTCTAAATACTTTGTTCTGCTGAACAAAACAAGACGATTTCCAATTGAGATCATTTCCAGACATTTCAGCTCAGTATTTACAGGGAGAATAAACTTAAGGTTGATAACATTACTGACAACTATTTAGCACATAACGTCCATAACTCCGACCGCTCTAGATCTCGGAGCATGGAAGTTGACCTTACAGTACCAGCTTTAATTTCACTATATCCACAGTCTGTGAAACTGACTAAACTGCTTCATGTGCACAGTCACACACACACACACACACACACACACACAAATGTACAGAGATACCAACATTTCATGTTGGAAAAATACTGCACCAATGAACATTTTTCATCTAAACGTTCCTCTCTTTGGCACAGCTGCACAGATTCAGAGAATTGATGTTCCTATGAGCGGTGACTTAAACTTACTTGTGTTAATTACTATAATATAATTTTATCAGGTTTTAGAAAATCTCTTCACTTTCTTATCCAATATAAGGCACTATAAATAAATACACTTCAGTTTTATGAAACTATACATCAAAAATATCTGCATGAAACCGAAACAGCAGACGAGCTGAATGAGACGCAGATTCACGCTCTGCCAGCAGGTGGCGCTTAAAGCGTTTCCTTGGTTTCCGCTGTAAACAAACTTATGAACTTTAATATGCATTATACAGAGGCAAGAGGAAAAGAAAATAATACCATCTAAACTTTTCTAAAGACAGTCAGTTCCCCTCAGACATGGATTCTTATAAACTCCTACCACTAAATGAATCGCGATTTGTTTAGCATCTCAACCGATTTGAATTGTCACATATTTGAATCGATTTTCAACCGGCTCGCGCTTAATCGTTACATCCCTAACGGCAAGTAATGATGGACATATCTGACAATTAGTTGTTATTCATTAAATTAAAATACCAAACCAGTCCAGTTACATAAATTATTTTGAAGGTTTGATAGTATTTACAACACAAATTTAATAAGCACAATATAAATGCACAACGTCTGTCTGTTTATAAAGGCCATAAAATAATACATAACACACATTGTACAGTTCTGGTGGTGTTTGTAGTTTTGACAAAAATCATCTCCCATTAATAATCTCTTGTACTACAGTCTAAATACTTTGTTCTGCTGAACAAAACAAGACGATTTCCAATTGAGATCATTTCCAGACATTTCAGCTCAGTATTTACAGGGAGAATAAACTTAAGGTTGATAACATTACTGACAACTATTTAGCACATAACGTCCATAACTCCGACCGCTCTAGATCTCGGAGCATGGAAGTTGACCTTACAGTACCAGCTTTAATTTCACTATATCCACAGTCTGTGAAACTGACTAAACTGCTTCATGTGCACAGTCACACACACACACACACACACACACACACAAATGTACAGAGATACCAACATTTCATGTTGGAAAAATACTGCACCAATGAACATTTTTCATCTAAACGTTCCTCTCTTTGGCACAGCTGCACAGATTCAGAGAATTGATGTTCAGATACCAACATTTCATGTTGGAAAAATACTGCACCAATGAACATTTTTCATCTAAACTTTCCTCTCTTTGGCACAGCTGCACAGATTCAGAGAATTGATGTTCCTATGAGCGGTGACTTAAACTTACTTGTGTTAATTACTATAATATAATTTTATCAGGTTTTAGAAAATCTCTTCACTTTCTTATCCAATATAAGGCACTATAAATAAATACAGAACCATAAAAAAAATTTGACAAATAAGTGTCATCTTCCTCATGCTAATAAACTGCCGTCTTTAAAGAAACAGAAAATGATTTTTTTTGTTCCACTACAAATATTTCACCCCAAGTGCAAAAAAAAAAAAAAAAAAGCGAACAATTCTTCACCACATTGAGGAAATACGTCCTCAAATAACTGCAACCCAACACATCCTTCACATTCAGAAATCAAAATATGAATCCATCATATCAAATGAGAAAAGAGATTTGCAACAAAATATGATGTATTAGTAGATGGTAGATTTGAACCTCATATTGATCATACAAGTCTCCCTTTGTTCTCTCCCAGGAGAGCTGTAATTGTTACTGAAAGCAGCAAATAGGATCGTGTAGTTAGTTAGTTCTATAAATATGCAGCTGTGATAACAGTAGTGCAGATTTTTTTAGGGTTCATCATCCTTCATTGGTCCAGTTATCCAACTGAGTGAGGAAAGTTCTGTCTCTGAAAGTTCAGCTGATAGATAGATTTCCTTATTTCAGTGGTTAAGATGTATTTTGGCGCCCTCTGTAGGTCAGAGCTGGTATTTCATGCTGTGATGTCAGGCTTCAAGGCCTCCATCTCAGACTCTTGTTCTTCGTTCCTGTGAGAAAAAGTACTCTTATTGTCAGCAGCAAGTGTTGCTAACGTGACTCATGACATTTTATGAGACCTTTGTAAAAAAAAAAAAAAAGAAATAAAATCGTAAGTATATGTCCTACCGCAGTAGCAGCTGCAGCTGTTTGTTGTTGTACTGCCTGCGTTCTTCATTGATGGGATACGTTTTAAAGATGAGAAGCCCCAGTGCTATAAGTGATACAGGAGCAGCCGACACCAGAATCTTCAATGTCAGATTCACAGAATCAGACTGCACACAAACTCCCGTCACATAACCTGCAAAGCTAATGGGACAGAATCAGAAGAACCTAAATATGAGCAGATGAAATATGAAGGCCAGAATGTAAATCACAGATCATGATCTGTTCACAAACCCATAAAAGGGCTTTTTAATACACACACACACACAGAGGAATATAAAGTTACCTTAATGCTAGTGTTGATACTCCAAGTGACACTCCAGAGGCGAATTTGGTGAAAAAAACATAGAAAGAGTAGAAAATAGCTTCATGGCCTTGAGAGGTGGGATTCTGGACTTTAAAATCATCTACAACATCTGGAAGCATGGACCTGAAATAGAAGCATCTATAGGTGTGAAATTATGAACTTGGTGTATAATTCATCCTGGTATGGGATCAGATGACTGTATTCTACTTCAGTTTTTTTTTTTTTACAATGAAGTTTATTTCTGTGATAGCAAAACCACATTTTCAGCAGCAATTACTCCAGTATTCAGTCTCACATGATCCTTCAGAAATCATTCTAATATGCTGACTTTGATGATAAGAAATCTAATAAAACTAAAATCTTAATAATCAATGTTGAAAACAGCTGCGTAATATTTTTTAGAACCGTTTTCAGGATTTTCAGAACAGCATTTATTTAAAACAAAATTTTTTTGTAACATTATAAATTTAATACATCCTTACTAAATCAAACTATTCATTTCTTATTGACCACAAACTTTTGAATGGTAGTGTATATATAAAATATGTGGATATAATATCTTAATTTGTTTGTTTTAGTGAAGGTTCTTTATAGTTAGTTATTTACAGTTATATATTTTTAAACATAAAATAATCCAAATGTCTTAATGTATTACCATATTCAGAACATTTAATAATGTTTTCCTTACAAATTTTTTAACATTGTACAAAAAAATTAGAATAATCTTCAGCAAAATAAAAAAAGGGCATTATTAGTTTCATGAATGATTTATGAATGATTTTTATCATATTTGTGAATAGCAATAGCATCAGGAGTTTGGTTCCTATGTAATAACAACTAGCAAATCAAGTCACATTGGGTACAGGTGTCTGCTGAATGTATAAATGTAAATATTTCTCATTCATGATTCTTTTTGGGAAGTCATATTTCTATAGCCTTTTGTTATAGATGCTTCCTTTTAATATCAGCTAGCAGACATCCTGAAATACACCTCTGTCTTCTTTTTCTTTGACTATACAGAACAACTGGAACAGAAAAACACTCACCAGGGCAGGAGAAAGGCCACTGCCACACTGGCACCAGCTGCGATTGATACGATGTAGGACACGAAGAGACTACTCTTTACACACACCACCAGGATCACGAAGGGCACTGCCCACTAAAACACAAACACAAAATTAATCATGACTGCCAACAAACACATCTCACACTAATGTAACACAAGCATCAGAAACTCACTGGTATGCCAATGTACACAGCAGTCTTTTTGCCAAACCGGCAGAGGAACCACTGCCACATGGGAATAGTAAGAGTGGCAGACAGCTGGGAAGACAAATCACACAAACCGTTATTTACGTTTGACCCCCTACAAAACCTCATTACCATATTATGCAACTCCAAGATAATAGTGCAAACCCTGCTGAAGTTATAAACAGTCTTTTCATCTGTCAACTCAAAGTCATGCTGCTTCTAAACCAGAAACACATGTCTTTCATCACTATGGAGACTGCTAACCTCATCCAAATTGCTGAGTGCTGTTAAAACACCCAACCAAACAATTCAGAAGTGCACAAAAACACTTATTCAAGCAGTCGGTTGAAAACACTCTCACCATGATGACCAGTAAGATGTTCTGAAAATCCTCTCTGAATCCCAGTGTGTACTTGATGAACACAGCAAAATTTCCCTCCAGCAGCTGAGAAAGGAAAACGGACCGATGAAATGAGATTCCATCAAGCGACTGATGATTATTGTCCATACAGTGTCTTCATTTCAAACCCAACCTCAGTCTCAAAACAATTCTGAACTTCGCTTTTGACTGCAAACCTGTCAAAATGCTGACTATGATTCTAAACCTAATCTCTTGCATGGCAGCCTGTCTCTCTCTCTCTCTCTCTCTCTCTCTGTTGTAACTAAAAAAGCTCATCTCTGTAACGTAGAGCTGTGCTGTGGTCAGTTCCAGAAACTGCTTTCTCTCATACATATCACCTGAAAAACTGTCTAGTGAAAACACAAAGTTTGCATCTTTGTAAATGATGTGGAATGAAATCTCGTCATACAACTGAAATGAACATAGGTACAACGAAGCATTTCAGAACAAATGTGACATGTTTTAGATGCATCTCTAAAGTGCTTTTCTTACCATGAAGGCCAGAGAAGTGAAGAGGAAGGCCAGCACCAGTTTAACATATGGCCCATGACCCATCACCAGCCGCAAACCGGTCTGAAATGACATATGCTTCTGTGCTTTTAAACCACCCTGATCTGAAAAAGACAAGAGGAAAAAGAATAAATGCACCAAAATACACATTCAATGTTGATACACCAAGTTTCTTTGTGAACAGCCTACAATTACACCAGGGTTTCAACATGGGTTTGCGGAGTTCATGAGTTACTGAGAGGGTAATATTTAAATTATAAAATGACAACATTTAAATTATAAAAATTGTATTTTATGTGTACAATTATAAAAAATACAATCTTAATACAAATATGAAATATTTTACTTGTTTACCTGCACAGGTAATACTTTACAATAAGGTTCAATTCGTTAGCATTATTAATAAATTTGGTCTCATCAACTAACACTGAACAAATAGCATTTATTAAGCTAGGTTTGATGTTCATTTATAAATATTCTATCATTTATTGTTAATCCATGTTCATTCACAATACTTCAACTATTATTTTAAACAACTTAAAATGTTTAAAAAGTGTTAGTATATAAAGAACATAAACTAACAATGATCAATACTTTTACATTGTTTATTAATATTTGTTTATGATACTTAATGCATTATGTAATAAAAGTATTACCATTATATCGCTATTCCCTTGCTGTAAAATGGTTTCTCTAGGCTTATTTTTGTATTCCATATTTTGTAAAGACTCAGTGTGAATAATGTGAATGTGTATGTAAAGGGAAGTAACTCACTGTCCTGCTCTCTCACTCCAAAAAACAGCACAACAGCACACAGGACATAGATCAAACTTATGACTGCAGATGCAATCATATATGCAAGCCTCTGTGAAAGAGAGAGATATGATGATTGAGGTGCCAGAGGTTCATGAGATATGAAACAGTCTTCTGTTTTATAATGACCACGCCCCCTCTCACCTCATTAAAAACTTTGTTATCCAGTAACTGAGAGTTATTGCCATGCACAGAGTGATTGGAGCTGTTGGTCGGGGATGTGTTGTTAATGCAGGGGGTGTTGGCCATGCCTACAATCTGCCCCTGAACGCCAGTGCCAATTACTGTACCCAATACCTCTACAGTCATGCCTGAGAGAGAAAGAGAACAGAAAAACAGTCAGATTGTTTACGCTGTGAAGAACTGGTCACACATAACACACTACCATTCAGAATTAATTATTTTATTCAGCAAGGATGCATTAAACTTACCAAAAGTGACAGTAAAAAACACTTATATCATTATCTAAAATGTATATTTCAATTAAATCCTGTTGTTTTGAACTTGTGCATCATAGAATCCTAAAAATAATGTATAAAGGTTTCCACAAAAACATTAAGCAGCACAACTTTTTCAACATTGATAAGAAGAAATGTTTCATTGCTTTTACAGTTATTATGTGGTTGTTGCATGTATTATCTAGCAGATTGCAACAGTAAGGCATAAAAATGAGTGTAAATGCTCTTACGGTACGCTGTGGCTGAATCTCGTTCCTCCTGTTTATTGCTGATGAACATGGTCAGAGCGGAGTAAGGCACATGAAAGCACTGAACACACAAACACAGTTACTCACTGACAGAATGGCATAAATATGCTAATTAACAAATGCAATACCAGTCAAAATTTTGTACACACCTTCTCATTCTCATTATTAAAACTACAAAACAACACAAATGGAAGTATGAATATGTGATTTAAACTATTTTTGCTATGATTTGCTATGCATGCATCCAATGTATCCTGTCCTACTCATTAATTTTTTCAAAAAAAGCAATAAATAAATACATTAAATAATGAGTATTTAAGTAGTTAGTTGAAAAGACATTTAAGCATAAACATTTAGATTAACCCTTTTTAAATCCTTTGTGTCCCAATGTTTGACAAGTAGTTGACATACAAGTATATAAATATATAGCATCACAGTAAATAATGATAAATTGAATTCCTCAAAAACTAGAAGAATGTGTACTAACTGTTTGGAGAGTCTGGAAGAGACAGTAGAAGAGCAGATACCACAT